GTTTGTTGAAACCTATATGCATCAATTTTAATCTACTATTTATTACGGGTATAGATTCATATATTTTACAAATTTTGAGTCTCAAATCTTCAACCAAATATAAGATAATATAGTAAGTTGGACTATTTTTGCAAAATTTTTCCTTTAAATTCAACCCACACTCACATTCCAAACAGGTCACAGAAGGGGTAACTATGTTTTAATTTCACATTACACCAATAAGTATCGTGCATTGCAAATTTGATTTAAAAGTTACCTCATTTTATCCCCGGTCTATGTGATTTTGTCTCACTTTGCCCCAATATTTTATATTCAAAAGATAGTTAGCTTTTGCATTGGGCAATATGATATCAATTTAAACAGTTGAGGGGGCAACATAAAAAAATTTGTAGTTAAAGGAGTAAATTGCAATTGATTTCTTAGTTACATGAGTCAAAGTGTAATTTATTCTATTGAAAAACTTATTTTTTAAGCTCTAATTTCTAAATTAAGAAAATATAAAAATGGTTGTTGCATACTATTTTCACTTCAAATTAGACTAAAGATATATTATATTACTATTTTTTTTCTTTGGTCCAATGGTACTCCTTGTCTGGTAAAAGTTTTGCCTTGTTGATTAGTTTACACGCAACTTGATTAATCATTTTTTTAATCAACTCAAAGGCTAATCATCCACGCGGAGACTAGAGTGTTCATAAGTGATAAATTTCTCATTATCTGATCTTATGAAATTATCAAAATTTAAATTTAAAGCAGCTAAATTTACAAATTATTTCTGCTATCACTTGCGGGGTATTATTTTATCAAAATTTGAAGAATATCTATAAAAATTGCTAGAATCAACTATGAATGGAGTAGTCAATAATGATAGCCCATGTAGTTGTGCCGGTTAAGTGAACGTGATGGCCCCTTAGACCATGTGACCACCGTCCTACCCTATTATCTCAATTTCCGGGCTCATTCATTTCTTCAATATAAATCATGCTAGATAGTTGCTAACTGGTGGCCAAGCATTCAAGGGAAAAAAAATATATTTTAGATTGGTTTAGATATTGGACCATTTTGAGCCAATTTTTTGGATGTGGCACCGAGATTTGAAAAGTGAAATAAACAGTTAGAGTTAAACAAATTCTTAAAACCGTTTGAAATATTTTCGAAAAATTTTTTTTTCTTTGAAGCCCTTAGATAAGTTCCAATTTTTAACTTTTTTTTGGTGCTAATAAAAACTATTTTTGCCCAAAAGGTTGACGAAAATACTGCCCAATAGAACTTGGTCCCAACGGACCAAGCTTCTTTTCCTCTGAAACAAAAAAATTAAAAATAAAAATTTGAGGTTTTTAAGTCAACTCTAAACAAGTCCCTTATCTTTTTTATCGGTATCGAAATTTTTTTTAGTATCGTACTAAGAAATTATTTTTTACTATTTATGTATTTTTAAGTTATTTGTAATCGTTGATTGTGAAAAAAAATATAATTAAAACAATAGGACAACGAGGATCTACAAAAGTCACGAATTTATTGAACAAAAAGAGAAAAATAGAGTATTAAAGATGTTATTTTAAAATATCATAGTAATACACCTACTATATATTTAAGTTAGAGAGATTTTTTTGGTGCCTTGGTGCATCACTCTATCATCTACCTACTCATTTGATTTTGTCTTCAAGACTTTTCCACAGCCATCTCTATTTCCCATCTGCAGTGGAAAAATCACTGATTAAAATTTTCAATTCCACTTATTTAATTTATATTCTTATTACGATTTTTTTTTTAATTTTATATATTAATTTTGCACATGCATTGAGAGTGCCACAGATTGTAGTAATAGTACATGGTGCATTAATTATCTCAATTATGTAGCATATATATTTAAAATTATCTCAATTGCACATGCATTGTTTAAGTCTTGTTCCAATTTGCAAAAAAAAAAAAAAAATTCAACTTGCAAACTCATTTAAATAATTTGAGAAAATCAATTTTAAATCGAGGAAAAATGATGAAAAAAAAATTAGAAATAGTAGATGTAATATGAAATAGAATATTTAAAATAAAACACAATTTAAAATCAAGTGTGCTATATAAAATATTTTTTCTATATGGGAGATAAATAGTATTTTTTTTACCAAAAAAAAAAAAATATATATATATATATATATATATATATATATATATATATAGGTGATTAAATTCTATTAGCCCTTAAATTATTGTCATTGACTTTTAACCCGTGTTGTGAAAATAGCAAATGTTGTCGCACTAATAAAATTGTTCTATTTTTTATTTGTGCGTCAACAATTTGAGTCGTAAAAACAACTTCTCTGCATACACGAATAAAGTTACGTCTATCTATTCTTTTCCAGGCTATCCAATTGCAAGAATTTATTACTTGTCTACTTTTTAAGTGCAAGAGTAGAAAATTACACAAAACTTAGAACAAAAATTTTGAAGCTCTATTCAATGCAAAACCCAATTTTTTTTTTTTTTTTTAAAAAAAAAAACCCATTCTGAATTACAAACTTTATGTCAATACTAACATCAAGGAAGGGCCATACATAAATGGCCAAGAGTCATTTTCACAAAGGTAGGGGACTATATGTTGATCATTAAAAAGAAGCCAGAATTAATTGTTTTTTGCTCAAAATATATACCTGCAAAAAAAAAAAGAAGGCTGCAAAATAATTGATTACCTCCCACATGCAATTCTCATTATTTTGAGCTCGCATGTACTTCAAGAATATATTTTTGGAAACCAAACAGATCAGAAAAAAACAAAATATACTACAAAGTTTTTCTTAGTGGAGGAATGGTGACCCTTAAAAAAAAAAAAAGGAATGACCTAATAACGTGATAGTTGACATAGTTTACTAACATCGTTAAAATTATAATTATTAGACATTTTTAGCACTGACGTATCATTAGCTCGGGGTATTAGGTACGAACCATCACCGCTTTTGGATCGAACATGTCATTATAGTTGGGTCATCCGAATAAAAATTATGGTCTTTTATGACGAAAATCTCTCTATAAGTAGGATACATTAAAACTAGAATAAATCTCGAATATTTATAATTACTTACAAATTATATAAGTATTATTGGATAAAATGACAAAGAAATAGAACCACTCTATGGTAGTTCCCAGATCTCTCTCTCTCTCTCTCTCTCTCTCTCTCTCTCTCTCTCCTCCATTTCTCTCTATTACACAGACACAGGGGCATAAAATGACAAACAGAGAACAACCCCCAGTTGAGCTCCGCCGTAGTGGAATCTGTGATTATTTGAATTTGTGTGTGTGTGTGGTTTTTTTTTTTTGTTGTAGAAAATGCAAGGGATCCCCATGCACGTGGCAGTCTTCAAAGCCGTTCGATTACTAAAGAACAGATCTAGACATCAGCTGAACAGGAGTAACTAATAATCATCACCACTATTTGTAACTACATCACTCTGCCTCCCAAACATCCCAATTCTAACAAAAATTAAATGTTTCAATTTAAACCTAAATCAATTGGACGTTGAGAATTATATATTCTCCTATTTGATCGAGTCATTCAAGACACATTCAACTCAACCTTGAGTCATCCGAGTTTAGACGAAACGAGATTTTGTTAAACTTCTTATTCTATCTTGCATCTCGCCTGTATCGTTTGATACAATTTTGTTTTATCGTGACCAATGCTGCAATGTTCGACAATATCATAACCCATTCTCTCACAATGTAGAAGTGTTTCTTTTTGTTGAAATTTTCCAACTTGAATCCAACAATGTCTATGTGATCTCACTATGACTGAGAAGTTGCATGGTGGCAACATAAACAAATTTGAAATGGTAGAGGACTGGAAATATAAAAAATAAACCAACGTATCATAACATTAGACTAGTAGACCTTGTTATAATATATATTAGTAGCAGGTGACTTGCTCTTAGCTTACTGAAGATTGGATATCAAAGTGACCCAAACAAGGCCTTAAAAAAATAGATTAATCCAGCTGTTGGTGGCCATTACACACTATACCCTTAATAATCAAATGAACTGATTGAATTGGTCCCTAATTGACAGCTCTATCCGAACGACTGTTTCTCATTGAATTTTCACTATAAGTACTTGCCCCATTGAATACCCAAGTCATTACCCCTTCTCTCTCCCTCTCCTAAACAACTCTCTCAGTTCTCATCTAAGTTAGAAAGAGGTGTGAGGAAGTCTGACGGATTGGCCGGAGTTGGTGGTTTTTCCAAAGGAGAAATGAGAGTTCACGGCTGCGACCCCGCAAGGGGTCGGCTTTGGCCTCAGCTACTAGTGGCATTCGCCATATTGGTTGTTTCAAACATCATGGCAGTCTCGGCTGACCCATATGTTTATTCCTCTCCTCCACCACCATATGAGTACAAATCACCACCGCCACCATCTCCATCTCCACCGCCACCGTACGAGTACAAATCTCCGCCACCACCATCACCATCTCCACCACCACCATATGAGTACAAATCACCGCCGCCACCCTCTCCATCTCCACCACCACCATATGAGTACAAGTCACCACCGCCACCATCTCCATCTCCACCGCCACCGTACGAGTACAAATCTCCGCCACCACCATCACCATCTCCACCACCACCATATGTTTACAAGTCACCACCTCCACCCTCTCCATCCCCACCACCACCTTATGAGTATAAGTCACCACCACCACCCTCTCCATCCCCACCACCACCTTATGAGTACAAGTCCCCACCACCACCCTCTCCATCCCCACCACCACCTTATGAGTACAAGTCACCACCGCCACCCTCTCCATCCCCACCACCACCGTATGAGTACAAGTCCCCCCCCGCCACCCTCTCCATCCCCACCACCACCGTATGAGTACAAGTCACCACCGCCACCCTCTCCATCCCCACCACCACCGTATGAGTACAAGTCCCCCCCGCCACCCTCTCCATCCCCACCACCACCGTATGAGTACAAGTCCCCCCCGCCACCCTCTCCATCCCCACCACCACCGTATGAGTACAAGTCGCCACCACCTCCATCACTTTCTCCACCACCACCATACTATTACACTTCTCCGCCACCACCGGTCAAGTCGCCACCTCCTCCATACTACTACACTTCTCCGCCGCCACCGGTCAAGTCACCACCTACACCATACTACTACACTTCTCCGCCACCACCGGTCAAGTCCCCACCTCCTCCATACTACTACACTTCTCCGCCACCACCTAAAGTCTCCACCTCCTCCATACTACTACAGTTCTCCACCACCACCGGTCAAGTCACCACCTCCTCCATACTACTACACTTCTCCGCCACCACCACCATATCACTACTTCTCCACCACCACCGGTCAAGTCACCACCTCCTCCATACTACTACACTTCTCCGCCACCACCCGTAAAGTCCCACCTCCTCCATACTACTACACTTCTCCGCCACCACCAGTAAAGTCTCCACCTCCTCCATACTACTACACTTCTCCACCGCCACCGGTGAAGTCACCACCTCCTCCATACCACTACACTTCACCACCACCACCAGTCAAGTCACCACCTCCTCCATACTACTACACTTCTCCCCACCACCGGTCAAGTCACCACCTCCTCCATACTACTACACTTCTCCGCCACCACCCGTCAAGTCTCCACCACTACTACTACACTTCTCCTCCTCCACCACCCTACCACTACACTTCTCCTCCACCACCGGTGAAGTCACCACCTCCTCCATACTACTACACTTCTCCGCCACCACCGGTGAAGTCACCCCCTCCTCCATACTACTACACTTCTCCACCGCCACCGGTGCCCCACTACCCTCCGCCACACCCCCACTCCCTGATTGTCAAGGTTGTCGGAAAGGTTTACTGCTACAGATGCTATGACTGGACATACCCAGTGAAGTCCCATGACAAGAAACACCTCAAAGGTAAAATTTTCATCTCTCATTTCTTAATAAATTTCATCAAACAGTATTCTTATTGGTGAAAAATGATCTCCTTCGTTTCAATCTTGGAATTTTCGGTCACTGTTGTTAGCACCCCCAAGGCCAATAGCATTTCTTTAATTTAAAAATAATTAATTTTTTAAAAAGACAGTGAGACATGAGTCATTTTTCACAATTTTCAATAGTAGAGTTGTTATTAGGCACTGATTGATTCATGACTTGTCTTGGATACCAGCACATATTAGATGGCTAGTAGGACATAAAGAATTGTCGACACAAAAACCGATAACGTTAGTCGGACATAATTAGTTATTTTTTGTAAGTTTCTTTTTTTCTTTTTTTTTTTGCTTTTTTAAAAAAGTTAGCAGTTGCCCATGTGCGAGAACAGTTTATATTGTAACCTAGCAAGAAAAATTTAGTTATTGTAGTACGCAGGTGAGAGACTAGAAGGTAGACATGTGATTTGTTGGCTAGTAGTCATATAATTAATATATGTTGATTGATATTATTGTTTTGGCACACATGGTGCAGGTGCTGTTGTGGAGGTGACATGCCAGGCAGGAGAGAAGAAAATTGTGGCATATGGAAAGACTAAAATCAATGGCAAATACAGCATCACAGTTGAGGGCTTTGACTATGGCAAATATGGAGCCAAGGCTTGCAAGGCCAAACTCCACGTGGCACCAAAGGGGTCTAAGTGTAATTTGCCCACAAACTTGCACTGGGGCATGAAGGGTGCTAAGCTCAAAGTCAAGTCCAAGACTGATTATGAAGTTGTTCTCTATGCCAAGTCATTTGCTTATGCTCCAAAGACTCCTTACAAGGAGTGTGAGAAGCCCAAGCCAACCCCAGCTCCTTACTACTACACTTCACCACCACCACCACCACCCACTTATATCTACAAGTCACCACCTCCTCCACCACCAACTTACTTGTACAAGTCCCCACCACCTCCACCACCGACCTACCTTTACAAGTCCCCACCACCTCCACCATACATTTATAAGTCTCCACCACCTCCACCATACATTTACAAGTCCCCACCACCTCCACCATACGTTTATAAGTCTCCACCACCTCCACCATACGTTTATAAGTCTCCACCACCTCCACCATACATTTACAAGTCCCCACCACCTCCACCATACGTTTATAAGTCTCCACCACCTCCACCATACATTTACAAGTCCCCACCACCTCCACCGTACGTTTACAAGTCCCCACCTCCTCCCCCACCAACTTACATTTACAAGTCCCCGCCTCCACCGCCATACTATTACAAGTCACCACCACCACCAACCGAGTCTCCTCCACCCCCATATTACTACAAGTCACCACCACCACCTTCTCCATCTCCTCCACTTCCTTATTACTACAAGTCCCCGCCACCACCCTCACCATCACCACCCCCTCCATATTATTACAAGTCCCCACCGCCACCTTCTCCATCTCCTCCACCACCTTACTACTACAAGTCTCCACCTCCACCATCTCCATCCCCGCCTACTCCCTACTACTACAAGTCACCTCCTCCTCCATCACCTTCCCCTCTTCCACCATACTACTACAAGTCTCCCCCACCACCATCTCCATCTCCTCCACCACCATACTACTACAAGTCACCACCACCTCCCTCACCATCTCCTCCTCCACCCTACTACTACAAGTCTCCTCCACCACCCTCACCGTCTCCTCCTCCACCATACTACTACAAATCTCCTCCTCCACCCTCACCATCTCTTCCATCGCCATACTACTACAAATCTCCCCCACCACCATCACCATCCCCACCCCCGCCCTACTATTACAAGTCCCCACCCCCACCCTCACCATCCCCACCACCTCCCTACTATTACAAGTCCCCACCCCCACCTTCACCATCCCCACCACCTCCCTACTACTACAAGTCCCCACCACCACCATCACCATCCCCACCACCGCCCTACTATTACAAGTCCCCACCACCACCATCGCCATCTCCTCCACCTCCTTATTACTACAAGTCCCCACCACCCCCATCACCATCACCTCCACCACCCTACTACTACAAATCTCCCCCACCACCATCGTCATCCCCACCACCACCCTACTACTACAAGTCCCCACCCCCACCATCCCCATCTCCTCCACCACCCGTCTACATCTATGCTTCTCCACCACCACCGACTCATTACTGAGCTCCAATAGCTCCACCATTCACCGCCGGCAATCATGTAAGTAATGGGTTTACACACTTTACATTATCTATCAAATGATCAACTACGTGAAGAAATTTGGATTCAATAGAAATCTCATTTGTTATTTGTTTTCATTTTGCAGCTTTTAGTTTCAATCACACAATAAAGGAAGTCTCCAATAGGCAAGATTCGGACATCAATCCTCCAAACCAATTAGTCCTATTAATAAGGTCCTCGACATTGCATTTAAAAGCTTTAACCTTTATCATTTGGACCAGTTTGCTTCTACTTCTCTGGCGGCCATCTTACACATTATGCTTTTACCACCATCGAGGGAAGGTGGCTTCAGATTCTATTTATTTTCGCAAAGCCAAATTAGTTGCTGATATGGGATTTGTTTTTAGGGTTTTGGAAATTGGTGTTACAGAGTCTGTTTCTTGTTTATTCATATGGTTGTTTCATTATTAAGTTATTGATGTATAGTGGCAGAACATGAAGTTGTTTGATAGTCATCTTTAATTTATTATTGTCGCTTGCATTTCTTGTTCTTTGTGCACTCAAATTTTCAATAATAAAGGATGACATTTGCTATCTCTCAATCTTTCTTGTGTTGCTCTCCACCATGTATCTGACAAACAACTTTCTCTCTCAACATTATCAACTACCTCTCATTTTCCTCTTACATAATGTTCCAGGCAACTTTAAACACAAAGTAGCTATATTGCCCCCAACGGGCCCAACCCCTTCTCTCCCTCTCTCTCTCTCTCAAACTTTTCTTTTTTGTATTGCTGTCCACCATGCATCTGACGAACAAGCAACTTTCTCTCTTAACATTATCAACAACCTCTCATTTGCTTCTTAGTGAATGTTGCAGGCAACTTTACACACACAAAGTAGCTAGATCTCTCTCTCTCTCTCTCTCCTGTTTTCCAAACTGAACGAATTATTGACTTAGTGTGATAATATGTGCCTTTTGGGTTTTTTCCCAATCCTTTGTGTCTTCTCTGTGGAGGGAGACAAACACAGAACTGTAGTGATTCTCTGAAATTTGGTTCACTCATAACCAACTACCCATCATGCACACACAAACATGGTCTGGCCGATGTAAGTCCATACCGGGCAACAGAACTCTGAATAACTCCCAAATTAAAAGAAAAAATATTAAGAACTACCATTATTACAGCAAGTTTGGAAGAAAAAAAAATCATCAAATTTGACCATTCTTATTTTCTTTGGCTCAAAATTTATTACTTGTACAACTATCATAACATAATGGTAAAGGTTTTAGAATTTGAAGTTATATCAAAAAAACATGAGCTCATAAATATATTATTCAAATTCCTCCAATAAATACCTTGACTCAGCTAATAGTATGGATTTCACTCTTTGAATCAAGATTAAAATGTTACTTATGAGCTCATGTTTTTCAAATCATCCATTTTTTCAAATATACAAGTCATCCATTTTTTCAAATATACTCTTTAATTAGTCGTATTCAATACACAAGATACATGTGTACAAAAATGTGGATCTAAATAATTTCTAATACTGTTTCTTCTTAATTAATTTCTTTCTTGGTTGATCATTTATCATTAATGAGTAAGATTAATGAGTAAGAGATTCACTTGTATACGATAAGTCTTTAAATGCATGGTAGATGACCTGCAGATCGCAGTTATCCTTAAACTTCCGTACTTGGTGGAGAAGAAGCATGAACAATGGTACGCTTGCTTGTTGTCTTGTTCTTTGTTGCGAACTGGGATCACTCACTAGCTAGGTCAAATTGGGGATAAGGGGCAGAATGACCTCTTGATCTACTTATTGCAGCCCAAGAAGAAAATTTTGGTCTCAGCCAAAAATAAAATTGAAAAAAAAAATGCGTCGAAGAAAATTTCCCTCCCAAAAATATCTATTTTTGCGAATGCCACAAGAAGTTCTCTCCCACATGATTTGTGCATAATTTTTTTTTTTCTTGGTGAAGTTAGGTAGCTACCTACTCAGAAGAATCATATATTTGATAATAGTCTGCCTGGCATACTAAACAAAGACCTTCTTGCCTTGATCAAGTCATTAAACAATGACAACTCACTCTTTTGAAAAAGCAGCAACTTCAAAGTCTTTATAACTTGCTACATTGTCGTTTCAAATTATTACAAGACAAAGAAAGTTGCTTAGGATTCTCTGTTGATTGGATTAAAAATGGAATAGTAAATGCATTGGAGTTGTTAGAATCTCTTTTGTTTAGGCCTCCATGACCATGAACTATGAAAGCAGGTGAACTACGGATGGAATGTCTCTATCTCATCACGTAAATATTCCTTACAACGGTAACATCGACACGTAATATCGTTATTTTTTGTTAATAAGCAAACACATAGGTTAGTAAACCAGACATATGGAAATATGTTAAAGATAATATTGATCAAAGAAATAAAACAAATGATGTTAGGTACTTTTGATCACGCTTTTATTCATTTGAATGCTAGCGTTACACTCTTTTGTCTGTTTTTTTCAGTCTTTTTTTTATTAATATAACATTACTCATACGTTAATTATAAGATTATGGCAAATGTGATCGTTATAGTATTACATGAGATTTTTTATGTTCAAGTGTTGGTTGTTGGTTTATTATTAAATTAAATTGTCACGTGTTAATGGTAACGTGATATAATCGGATTTAATTTCTACTTCATTATCCAACATTAAAGTAGGCATGCCACCCATCAAAGCTATTTGGGCCCACACAAAGTGTTCATTCCTGACCTTGTTTTGTTTCGTTTGAGGCACTGAATGTAGCACAGGCTGGCTGATTCCTATCTATCACAGTATTTGGCCCCAGTGAGTTCGAATGTTTCGATTTTCCAACAGCTTTAAGGCCTTTATGTTCATGATAGTTGCTTGTAGCTTTGAATATAGACACACATTATTATGACTTTTCTACCTCTTTTCCCCTTTTTTATTTTACAAATCAGTTCTGGAATAATATTTTGCAGTGGCTGCAAGTCAAATTTGTCGAATGCACCTTTTTTATGTGTTGTTTAGGGATGTACGAACCACTTCAATTATTATTAGCGTAAGTCTAAAGAGACTGTCTCAATTACGTAATCGAATTTAAAATTTCAAGATGACAACCTTTGGTGACTTTTATTCAAGCTGTCATGACAAGTTATTTTACTTTCTTTATGTGTTTTACATATTTCTAGATGATTCGGAGATCATATTAGCTATCACGAAGAGATCTATAATATAAAACAAAACAGATTTCAATAAGTTTATCCAACGGTCTCAAATAGACTCATCTAACGGCCACCAACATCCCTATCAAAATAATTCACCTTGAATTCTCGGTCACATCTATTATTTCTCACTTACGTCATACTGTGTTTATACGTACGAGTTATCCCTAATAAATTAAAAAGAGCTGAAAGTTGCCACTAACTGAACCGGGGTGAGTAGCATAGGCTCTTCGCGTGATCCGCTCATATTTGGACCTTTTTCTTTATAATAATGATAGAATAAATTTTAGATACTACATGATGTTAAAGTAACCAAATACATAATTTTACTTGGTTTGAATATTTTGATATGTATTTAAAACACTAGTGGGCAAAACCTTAAATAGGTGAAAAATATGAAGGATTATCGTATCGCGAATGATAAATTATCATAATGAGTGTGTGGAGCATGAAATTTTGCATGTCAGACATATCTTCCCTAAGCAAATGTGACATCTGGGTATGAAATTAATGCTGATCAAAGTTGAAAAACTCTATTTGGTTAAATTGGTGGCAAGAACGTTAAAAATGTGACAAATATTAACTATCATTGTGTTGCAAATGAAGAAACATCATAATTAGTGTGTGGAGTATAAATTGCACATTCAAACCATTATCACTTCTGCGAATGCAAGATTCAAGTACACAGTTAAGGTAAGTCAATGATAGAAAGTTCTATTTTAGTTAAATTATTGATCGAATTGCATTACGACTCAAGAACAACAATTGTTCTGAGTGTAGTTAGTGTTCATAGTAATGCAGGTGCTCTCAAAACAAAAATAATTAGAAGTTCAGTCATCAAAGAAACCAATACCATCTTTTGTGTATGAACATAGATAAATACGAAAATGCAAAGCAATTGAGAAAGCTTGACATGTCATTGCCTCCAATAACAATTGCATGAAACAAAAATTGATTTTGAAGGAATACACCAAGATCTATATACAGATCGAACCCCACTTGGGGCGGGGCCTTACCAGGCTAGAGTTTCTCCATCCCTCTCCACTCATTTGAGAATTGTAAACTCCACATTATCTCAAAATAGCACTTAAACACCAAATACCCAACATCCTTATTCCATTATGTACCATGCCTAGTAGTCAGAGCAAGGAAGTGTCTCAATGGTCCTACATTTCAGACCTAAAAATTCAGATCTCAATTGTCGAATCATACACCATGGCTGTTTATTTGAGCATAAAAGTGTTGCAAAGGTTTTTAATTTCACATCTAAATTGTGGCAAATTCTCATAACTTTTACGTGCCCAATACTCTTCAGATGCAACTTGGGAATGATAATAGAGTCCTCCATAGTGGAATAAGAAATGTAAATGATTTGTTGGAATTCAATGTCACTTTGCAGTCCAAAGACTAAACTCTGAATAAGGTTTATCTCTTACCCTGCGGATCACAAGTAGAATTATGACTAGGTACATCAGTAAAGCAATTTTAGTAGCAGACGCATAGTTCTAGTTTTCAAGAAATTAGAATTTGATCAAAGTCGGGCATGTCACTTACTCAACAATGCTTTACTCCCTAATCAGTCCTATCTAGGGCCATGTCTAACCAAGAAAAACTGATGATTCCATGGGGACCTAGAAATACCCAAGGTCATACAAAGAACAATATAATTGCAATACCTCAATCCATGTTGCCAGTTTTGGCCAGCCTACAGTAAAGTCATAGTTCTTCACATCCAGCAAGAAGGGCTGAAATCTTTCAATGAATGGCGCATAAGCTATATCTTCCTGAAGGACAAAGTTAAAAGCTCTATTTAGCTAAACTAGTGGTCAACATTGCTCTTGCCCTAGCATTTTATGTCTTCTCATGTTGAAACTATTTTGATTAATCTTAATTAGCAGATTGGACCTGGATTAATAAAGACTAAATTGATATTATTAGAATTTATATGAAAATTAAAAACAATGTTAATATAACAATTAACAAAATATGAACAAGCGAAAAAATTAATTTTTTCATAATACATTTCAACTTAATCATATATTCAAGTATAAATTAGAAAAAATATATATTAAAGTAGAACATGACAACGGTGTTACAAATCTTGAGAATATTTTATAATTGGTCATTTTCATGACATAAATTTCTCAGCAATTTTCTTTTAATGTTGTTGAGAAATTGATTGTTGGAAGGGTATAAACGTATTCTGGTTAGTATATTATACTATTTACATCTATCTTGTGCTATTGGGTTGTGAGCCACTAATTTATAAAGAAAAAAAGAAGAAAAATCATCAAAAACTATAAAATTATTTTTTGAAAAATAATAG